ACTGAATTTTAAGTTCCTTTCTGAGCTCCAGCAATCCTCTGAAGGTCTTAAGCATCCAGGTAGACCCAGTACCTTCTCCAGTTGTTCAAAAAGGACAAATGTTGGGAAACACACCAATAATGTTTTCACATGTTCCAGCCTTGGTCAGTCACTTCTTTCCCTGAGAGCATCTCACTCTTTCTCTCATACACACACACACACACACACACACACAGCTGACAAACACGTTTCCCTGACTCCAAGGGAGATGATTGGAAGAGTTGTGGGCTGGCCAGTGGACTGTACTTCTTTCCAGGTGACATTCTGCAGTGTCAGGGCTGACAAAGAATAGCACCGATCTTCAAAATACTGTGACTGCTTCTGAAAGTAGGGCCCACACTAAGCAGAGGCTGATGGAATAAAGAGGCCTGGCAGCCACTGGGAATACAATCTTGCCAGGCTGGCAAAGGAGGTTAAGAGATTCATTTCTGGACAACTAGTAGGTATTAGAGCTGTCTAAAGCTGGGCTCAAATGGGTGCCAGGGACTCCCTGGTAGCATAGGCGTGAACTAAGAAAGAGTAACCAACATTCATGGAGGACTTCCTTTGTGCCAGGCACTGTCAGTGATTCATATATATTAGCTTATTCCCTCTCAAAGGCAGTAGTTCTCAAAGCCAGAAGCATCAGCAAGTTCTCAGGCCCACCCCAGACCCTCAGGGAGGGGCAGCAATCTGTGTTGCGATTCTGATGCACTTTAAAGTTTGAGTATCACAGCTCCAGGGCAGTGATTGAACCTGGCTTATTTTCATTTTTGATGATTTGGGTGAAAATTTACAGAGCAAATTCATTTTCCACACAGCTGTTTCATATACTTTTATTGCAATCCCTGTAATACAACAAACAGCTCTCTTCCCACTTTCTCCCTGTGGTTACCAATTCTGTGTCCTTCTTTCCTATGCATTCCAGCCCTCTGAGCTAGCTCCCTAAACCTGGCTTACTTTTAACACAGCATTTCCCCAAAATTATTTGACTAGAGAATTCTTTATTAGGATCCTGCAGAAAAACTCGGAAAATTCGCCCTAGTTGAAATAAATTGATCCTCTGTGCGCTGATAAATTTTTGCTCAAACAGCCACATATTTTAAGTACTTAAATCACATTCTCCATTGAACTGAAAGTCCACCCTCCATGTCACCTATTTCCCTTTAAGTAGGAATCATTTTACAAAGTTATGTTTAGAGTCAATTTTCCATCCCTGCTATAGGTTGATGGCTTCAAGGTAAACTTCGCCACCAAAAACCCACTGCTGTTGAGTTGATACTGACTCATAGTAAACCCATAGGACAGAACAGAACTGCCCCATAGGGTTTCCAAGGCTATAAATCTTTACGGAAGCAGCCAGCCACATATACTTTTCCTCGTGGGTTTGAAGCACTGACCACCAGGGTCCTTCCTTAGCCACCACAGTTGTTTTTAGGGTTGTAGGTTCTGGAGTTTGATTTTGTTCTCATCAGCATTTTTTTGGAAAGAATGTATCTTTTTTGCGGGGAGAATGGAAGGGATATCTTTTAATTTTGAAATAATTTTTCAGAGGTTACAAGAATAGTAGAAGGAACTTCCATATACCCTTCACCCAGACTGCCCAACTGTTTACATTTTACTCTTTACTTTACTATTCTATGGATGTATATGTATGGATGTATATATGTATATGTATGGATTTCCCCTTTGACCATTTGAGAATAAGTTGCAGATATCATGGACATTTATCCCTAAGTATCCCAATGCATATTTCCTAAGAACAATGACATTTATTCTCATAATCACAGTACATTTATCAAAATCAGGAGATTAATGCTGACAAATCATTATCTAATATACAGACCTTGTTCAAGTTTTGCAAATTGTCCCAAAGTTCTTTATAG